CCCCCGCGCGGTATAATTTACTCTGCTAAAGGGGAATTACATTGGCATGGCTATGCCAGTCATTTCCCCTGAATAGACAAGCCCCGAGCGAGCTTCAGTCCTGCCTCCCACTATGGGCAATGTGATACGCTGCCAAAGCAATTAGAGGAAAGCAGCGACTTATCTGGCTGCACGGGATTGGTTCTGTTTTTAATATAGAGAAGTGACCATTAAGTTGAGTCCAGCCATGAATTGCTTGTCCAAGTCCGAGGGATAGTATCACTGGGGTCTCTCTTACTCAGCCCTGTCACAGGCACTACTGCCACAGTGGGGGGTTTTGTGAAGAACAAAGATGGGAATTATCTTGCCATAGGGCTGGCACTGCCTCTCCTTCCTGCAGGCAGAAGGATGGCCATCCATGGATGGGCCTTGTCTGGGGGTTGAGGGAAGAGTGGGATATTTCAGGCTCCACTCCATTTGCTTGCCTGCGGCTTGCAGCTGGGATTACTCTCCCACCTCCTCACGGATAGTGCTACTAGGCTACAATGTCATGGCCATACAGCGCCCAGCACAGTAGGCCCCAACCTGCCTGAGGCGTGTAGGCACTATTGCAGTGCTAAGCAGGATTTGAAGCGTAAGCCTATCAAAGAACGATACTCAAAAGAAACCTGTTTATTGTGAGGTTTAGAAGCCAACATAGTTATGAAAACCGGTATTGTTTCTCTTAGACAAAGCACATTTTTGGCAAGTGGTGGGGTTCACACAGGGCTTCAGGGCACAGTCTCAGGACAACAAATGCAACGAGTTCTTCGGTTTCACAATGTTTCATTTGAAAAACAAAACAACTCTGCTTCCCCAGACAATGAAAAATAAATGGATATTAAATTAACAGGCGATCAACAGTAAACTGGGGGGGAAGAAAGGAAGCCAAACCCCACAGATGTCTGTCACATCTTCAGTGTTACGCGCAGGAGGTGCTTTCGCTTTGCTTTTCCTGTTCGATAGCTGCCAGAAAAACACAGGAAACAGTGTCGTGAGCTATGGTCCTCCTCTCACTGTAAAATGGAGGTTTCTATAGAAACCTTTAGAGCCAGGGGACACCCCTGATTTCTCTTCTGTGTTACGATGACAGCAAGAGTCCCTTACAGACCTCAATAGTCACGCTCGCTGGAGCCTTCTCCCTGTTCCCATAGGGGAGGTCTGCACTGTGTGCAGGATGTAGCATACAAATGTTCCTTCCTTATGGGACCCCGATTTTGGGTCACGGGGGCAGGATTCAGCATGACTCAGTGGCTGGCACTAGTGAGCCAGCGTGTCTGTCGGGAGGTTCTGGCCCCAGGTGACCTTGCTGGGAAGTCATCAGTACTAGGAGATGCTCAGTAGTAACAAAGAGGCATTTCAGCTGAGCTGGTGAAAATCTGGCCCCACCCCAGTGTCTCTGGAGGCTGCTAGTTGGAGTCAAGGGCGCTTCCTTTTATAAGAAGAGACTTTGACTTGCTTTCTGCCCGGCAATCTCTCCTAAGGAAACGGGTCACTGAGGTCATGCATGAGTGTGCAGGGGCTGACCTGGTAACCGTCTAATGCTACATACAAACCACACCTACCAGCAAACCCTGGACGTGGGGAGGTGGGTCAGAGGATCCTGCCCTAGGAAAAATGTCAGGGTGCTGCAAGTGAGTTAAGGAAAATGGCCTGTTCCCTATGGGTTACAATCGGTCTCCACTCTATCCTGGACTTCTCTGACCTGCTTCATTCTTGAGACTTGAATATGCCTGTGTGTGATGCCTGCTGTCCAGCAGGGGGCGGTGACGTGCACCATGCACACACGCAGGTTCCTCCATGTGTGCCAATGCAGTTCTCGGGAATGCTAGTCTGCTCGACAAGGGCCTCTAACAATAGAACTCACCTAGGCGTTACGGCTCTGGAGGGACTGGCGGAAATATTAATCGTAGAAGGCCTGATTCTGCTGCCTGTTGAAATTGCTGGGAATTTTGGCTTCAGGGGGAACAAGGAGCAGTCCCACAATGAGTAATAATATAGCAGACAAAAAATACCAAATCCGTTAACCACTTTTTGTGATCGGAGCCCAGGCTAATTTGTGGTGCAATTTTTAAAGTCAGAGTCTAGGTCATTATTCCTATGGTTAATATTCATTAGGCATATTATATACAGGGCATGTTATATGCTGGTTTGCCCTGTGCTCAAATAACCTCAAAAGCACTTACTTTCTTTAGTGGGCAGTGGATTTTTCTCTCTAGTTTCTGTCTTCTTCAGTTTAGTCTTGTCAAATGTTTCAATTTCTGCAAAATTTGGCTTGTCGGACATGATGGGTCCTAACAAAGGAAGGGAAAAAAAACACGCCCAGGGTTTTATTAGCTGGGGCCATGATACGAGCCAGACGAAAAATATTTTCTGCACTAGAATGAAAATAATGTTAGTTTTTTTTTTTTTTTTTTAATTAAAAATTTAACACACGCTTCCTGGATTGATTCAGGCAAGAGCTCTCTCTTTTAATTTTCAAAGCAAAGATAAGGTTTTTGTTCGTTAAATCTTTCTCCATCTCTTTAAGAAGAAATGTGTACAAATCATATTCTAAATCCCAGAAAAGACATTTATGAAAGACAGTATATTAGCTTTCTCATTTGGCACAATCCATAATTTTTTCTAAATATCGACAACCACAAAGCCCACTCTAAAGCCACAAACCTAACCTGAGAATATGGCTTGAGTAATGATTTCCAACAGATTGGAAATGAAGAACAAAATAAAAAAATACACACACACTTTCTTTCTGCTGGCTGCTGTATACAATTGTGCTTAACAAAAGGAGGAATCCTTCACAGAACCCTTTGTTTCCTCTCCCACTCAATATTCAAGTCGCATGCTCAATGTTTTTGATTACGCTCTATTTAAAAAGAAAAAAAACCCAGCAAATGTACCAGCTTTAAACACTTCACCTGTCAAAACTCCCCTAGGCTAATTGCTGTTGTTTTTTTTTTAATAGCTATTTAGGATAAAATTCATCCCACATGCAATTCCACTGCCTTCAATGGAATTTCCATCCTGGATGGCCCTGAGATTTCTGAGAAAATGATTCCCATCCTTTTTCTTAAGTTACCCTGATTTTTATTGCTACCGGCACTAAGACAACAGAAGCACAGATTAAAAGGGGGGGGAAAAATGGAAAAGCTACTAAAAGCCACATGCCGTTACCGTCTTGCTGCTTTCTCCTCAGCTGCTTCGCGACCGTCTGAGCCAGTGTGAATCTCAAAAGGTCATGCTA